AACTGCTCCCCTTTCCAGTGTTGTTACTTTTTCCCTCAATTTTCAATCTCCTCACTTTTCAATATATCAGTGGGTTCCCCCTCCCAAGGGCCCAAGTGATCCTTTCCCGTCTTTATTTTTCAGTACCTCACCCAGGTCATACACTTTATGTCGCCATGGCTATCTTTATCTCTAAACTATATTTCGGTCCCTAGACCATAAATGCGCTTAAAGCGAAAGATCTTACTTTGCACAAAATCTAATTTTATACAGAATATTTGCATTAATAAACTTAATAAAATAGGTAAAGGGTTCATTTAGATAAGGTGGTTGTGACAGGGACCAGGACAGATCTCTGCGTAAACTTTCGGTAAGACTTTATGGTGAGTAACTTGCAGCCTGCTTGTTTCTAGCCTTTGGGTAGAGGCTCACAAAGGTGTGTCCTCACCAAAGTGTTACCTTCTTGAAGAGTTTACTGGGGAGAATTATCAGGCCTGCTCTCTGCAATCTCATTTTCTTAGTTGTAGATTAAAGAAAACATTCTCTCTAAAATGGCCTTTGTTTAGTAACCTTGTTTAGTGGAGTTCTGTAGTTCAGTGGTTAGAGCATTCACAAGCAAGCAAGCGACTTGGATTCAATTCCCGGCAGGGCAAAACCTTAGGCAAGTTTCCTTACTCTATACGCCTGATAATAATCCCTCAAGAAAAAGAATAATAAATTGGTCACTTCAATCCATGACTGTTTGTGGGATACTGCTGTGTGCAATTTGGCTGCCACATTTCACCCACAAAATATACAGTCAATTCACTTCACAGTCTATTCTGCAAAGCGCTTTGAGACGTCTAGAAACGTGAAAGGGCTATATCAAATAAAGGATTATTTATTATATAACCTGAATACATGCCACTTTGCTAGTTCCAGACACCAGTACATTATTAAGCTTTGTCCCTAAACAGAGCAAGAGTTTTTTTTCTAATTTAATAACTGCCAGTTTTACCTGGCAATGATCCGGGAGGGCTGGTTTATTCAATACTTATTTACAAGTATTCGAGGTATCACTGGTACCAATACATTACTGCGCTTTGAAATGGCTCAATGATGTGTTACGGCGCTACGTGAAATGCAAGGATTATTTATTATTACTCGTATGCCACTCAGCTGTTGATCAACACATAGCCTCTTTTACCAACTTGAAGGGCTTCACGAACCAACACCTGAAGAATGTAAACAGTGCTGCACCTTAATCTGAATGACCCTGACCCAACTGTACAGCGCCTTGGGACGTCCTCCCGACGTGAAAGGCGCTCTATAAATGGAATCTTGTTGTTGTTGTTGAATGGAATCCAATTCCTAACTGCTGTTTTGTTTTGTTTGAACAACCAATTTTATTTTGAGGATTTTTGGCCAGGACACCATAAGTAATTCTCTTTTCTTTTCATGTAGCTCCATGGGATCTTTAGCATACATCCTGTGGGTGTGTGCTGATACTCTATCCTTTAGAGGAAATCGGGGTCAGTGTCAATTGTGTGCAGCCCATGTCATCTGGTCTGTTGAACTATGGTGGTCAGAGCACTCACCTCGCAAACGAGAGGACGTGGGTTCTATTCCCGAGCAGGGTGAAATGTTAGACAAATTTCCTGACTCCACACCCTGTTTACATAGCATTAAGTAGGAACCCGATTATTAGTCGATTGGGGGATTGCTTTTCCGAGAATATAATCCCATCAAAAATAAATAAATAAGGTCACTCAATCCACGACTGTTTATGGGATGCTGTTGTGTGCAATTGGCTGCTGCTTTTTGCCCACAAATTGAACAGTCAATTCACTTTACATTGTATAGCGCTTTGAAACCTAATAAGGTGCTGTATTAAATGCATGGATTATTATCATTAAGGTGGAATCATTCAATACCTTTCAAATGACCTGACAGATGAAATCATAATAATAATTCTTGCATTTGATGTAGCGCCATATCACATTATTAAGAGGTCTCAAAGATCTTCAAAGAATTTTACTATGAAATTTAGTGACTGTGTATTTGCAGGCAGGTGGCGTGGCCAATTTGTGCACAACAATGTCCCACAAACAACCATGCAGTGAATTTTATCTGGGGGCTCATTAGCCAAACACCGTGAAAAACTCTCTTCTCTTTTCAAAATAACAACCAATACCTGAGAGCTTCAAATCGTATCTTGGGTCAAAAAGCTGACGTAATTTGCTGCTGCAGTACTCGGTACAAGTTAGGATCACATTGTTCCAGGAGAGACCAAAGGAACAGATGGGATCTGTTTTCGTTACATTCAGTTAAGTAGTTGCTATTCATAGCATTTGTTGACCAGTCCCAATAATTATGTAGGTAATCAAGTCACAATCTGTACACATGCCAGAACACAGACAGAACCTCAAAAGGCAAAATACTGCAGATGCTGGAAATCTGAAATAAAAAAGACGCTGACGCTGGGAACATGCAGCAGTTCAGGCAGCAGCTATGGAGAGAGGAAAGTGAGTTAACGTTTCTGGTCAATGGCCTTTCGTCAGAACATTTGTGGTCTGTAATGGGTGAACCTCAGTTTAGTGTCTATTTTGAAAGACTTACAACAATGCTGAGCTTCCCCACTAATGCACTGGAGTGTCAGCCATGAGCTTTAAACCCAACGTGGGGCTTGAACCCACAATCTTCTGCCCTAGAGGTGAGAGTGTTATCAACTGAGCCAGGCTGACAGATTGAAATTAGCTGTTTGACTCTGCGACTATGCAATCAATCTTTAACCGAAGTTCATTTAAGACTTGTGAGCTACATCATAAATCCCTTATGTCGGAAGCCTGACAACCTGTTACCTTAGTTACCACAGATCACAATCTCAGGCATATAAATATAAAAGTTTCCACTGCTAACAGCCTCCTCTTCTGTGCATTGCCAGCGTTTCCTGGTTAGTTTAATTTGCTTTGATGAAAATTGACCAAGCATGTAGAGGTTATATACAAAATTATTTGTCATGAACTACTGTCTTGAACCAGCGCCTTGGGACATCCTCCTGATGTGAAAGGCGCTATACAAATGTAATGTTGCTGTTGTTGTCTTGCCGTTGTAAAATAAAATTGCCATTCTAAGCCCTTTTATACTCCACACTTCACCCCGAATTCGCCAGAAGAGTTAACTAGGATTTATGACAAGATGGTGTATTTTCTTTGTTAATGTATTTGTCCAGATTTCTGTTATTCCACCTTGTTTACAAGCTTTTGTGGCCTGTGACGGGTGAACACAGTTGCTAAAGGCATCTTTACTTCATGCGGCACCTTTTAAAGGAGTCTGGGTTTAAATACAAAAACTTTGGTTGGGTCCTTTTCATTGAAGGAACAAACTGCGGATTTTCATTGAACAGAGGTAATGAATAGTGACAGGTGCAAAGGGTTTGAATAACAGGGTGTAGATACTGCCACAAGAGCCAGCTGTAGCAGCTGTGTTAATAGTGGCCCTTTACTGTATCCACTTCCCAGCCTCTGTGAAGTGGGATTTGAAGTGGAGCAAAAGAAAACACAACACACTGAGTGCTTTGAAACCAGGATTGCTGCTGCCACCTCGGAACAGTTGTCCACTACACTGGAGACTTACATATCTGAAAGGGTTGAATTTCAGTACAGCACTGTTTGTATCTTCACTGAAATTTACACTAAATGTAACCCTGCCCCCTTTCCCTGCTTGTTCATTTTGTTAGGTTTTCATTTTTTTTCTTTAAAAAGGCCTTTGCGGGCAAGTTGGGTCTGCTGGGGACACCGAGAATCATATCAGTGACCACTTCTTCTATATTACAGCAGTAACTCTCTAAGCCTTTTCGCTAAGCTCCCAAATCACAGTGCGTACACATTTTAAAACAAGTTTATTCCCAGCAGCTGAGGTGATGTAAAGGACACCAGATGCGTGAGCATATGGAAAGTGTGAGCTAAGCCCATCAAAGGTTGTGTGGCTCAGATTTGCTTGAGAGTAGAGGTGCAGAAGAATGCATGAGAGACATGCATGTCGTCAGTGTTGGAAAAATAGAAGTCCTTTCACTGCCCTAGCATTTCCCATTCACCACGCTCGTGGCCCCTTTGACTAAGAATGCCAACTTGTTCTGAATTGCATGCATTTTAGTTCGGTATGTTAATAATAATAATCCTTGCATTTGATATAACGTCTTATCACAGCATTGAGATGTCTCAAAGTGCTTCACAGAATATATTGTAAAGTGGATTGACTGTATATTTTGTGGGCGAAATACGGTAGCCAATTACGCACAGCAGTGTCCCATAAACAGTCGTAGATTGAGTAACCAATTTTTTGGGGCGGGGAGGGATTATAACCCCCGGAAACAAATACACCAATCGATTAACAACCAGGTTCCTTCTTACTGCTAGGTAAACAGAGATTTGTGAAGTAAGAAAACTTTCCTAAGGTTTCGCCCCTCCCAGGAATCAAACCCAGGTGCTCTCGCTTGTAAGGCCGAGGCTCTAACCAATACACTATAGGACTCCACAATAACAAGGAAATTGACAGAGTTCATAAATATTCATGTACTAATTGTTTATACAATGAATATATTTATATGATTTGCTGTGAACTTGTGTGCTCCTGATAATGTGGGGGGAATGGATATGTTGTAGCAAAGCTTTCCACTATACGATGGAACTCCAGAGTCTCATAACCCACCAAGAGCTCCTCTGGGGCAGCTCAAATCCCTCCGACACCAAGAAAGAAGTTTTCATCCAGGTTCTTTGAGATTGAGATGACTGTACACTACTCCTTGCGTGAGCCATTATCCACAACATATAACTGAGCCAGTGTCAACGGGTGGATTTCATTGTATTTGAACCTAAAAAGAATTTGTAAACAAAGGTGGCAAATTGAAGCCAATTTATGCATCGTAAATTAAGTACTGGAACTGCTTTCTCAAGTAAGAAACAGGGATAATAAGGATTTGAAACCCTCAACCAGTCTTGTGTGGTGCACACTAACTCAATGTACTTGCTTCTCTCTTTCAGTTCATGGGGCAAGCAAATTTGCACATATTTGAGGACTGGTGTGGCAGCTCTATCGATCAGCTCAGGAAAAATATTCACTTCCCTCTGTTTCCACATGTGAGTACCCGCGGGAGTTTCAAGCACATCTACATGAAAATAAATGCAGCGTCATCATCTCAATCTTTGAGGTTGTTTGTCGACGGTTGAAATCTAGCTCATGGCATCCTGCAAATCTTCGTGGTCAAAAGAGCCACGGTTGCAATTGCTTTCGTGGAGGCTGGAATTTTTAATCTCAAATGAAATACTGGCTAAATGCTATAATGCATTCAATAAAATAATTGTAATCATCTTTCAATTTGGTATTGTACCTTTCACATCAGGAGGATGTCTCAAAGGGCTTCACAGGATTTACTATAAAGTGTAGTGACTGTATTTTGTAGGCAAATGATTAGTGCTGCGCAAGTTAGTTTACACTATCATTGCTCACTTAAAAATCTTCATAGGACTTGCAATGTAAGGCTGTGATGTGCACTTTACTGAGATGGATAGAAATGTCATCCTTTTCGCAGGCAAATTAAAATCGCATTTTATTACAAGGCACTTATTACAAGAGTTTTATAGCTGGTTAATTTCTGGTCTTTAATTTTTATGATAATTTATTGGATTCAATCTTGATCATAACATAAGAACATAAGAGATACCAGACAAAAAAAGACCAAGGTCCATCTGGTTCACCTTCCTGGCGGTCTCACGCACATATATCCCAAACTACCTATGTGCTATATCCAATAATGTTATTTCCTAAAAGAAAACTATCTAATCTGTGTTTGAAAGAATCAACACTTCCTGCTTCAACTGTCTCCCTAGGGAGCCTGTTCCACAGGTTCACTATTCACTCACTGAAATAGTATTTGTGTAGACTCGTTCTGAATTTACCCTCTTCAATCACAGGCCGTGTCCTCTGGTTTTACTATTCTGGTCAAGTTGAAACAGCCTGTTATGATCTATATTGTTTTGCCCCTTTAGAATCTTAAAGACAGCAATTATGTCACCTCTCAATCTTCTCTTCCAGCGTGAACATGCCCAATTTACTTAGTCGCTCCTCATAGTCCAGTCTTTCCACTCCCTCAATCATTTTGGTTGCCCTCCTTTGTATCTTCTCGATTTCTTTAATATACTTTTCATACTGTGTGGCCAGAACTGTACACAGGACTCTAAAGTACGGTCTCACCATGATTTATACAGTGGCAGGATTACCCCACTATTTCAGCTTGCTGTTGATCTTTTGATATACATCTCAACATCTGGTTTGCTTTACTCACTGCCACAGAACATTGTTGGGGAGCTTCAGTTTATTGTCAATCAGGACCCCCAAGCATTTTTCATTTTCTATGCATATTATCTTCCTTCCGTTCAAACAATAGTCCCTTCCAGGATTTTTTGTCCCCATGTCAATTATTGTACATTCTCCACATTGAATTTCAACTGCCACTGATCTGCCCAATTCCCAAGTATGTTCAAATCCTCCTGTAATCTATCTTATTCAGCTTCGCAATCTACCTCTTGTATTCCCTCGAATTTAGAAAATTGAGGGGTGATTTGATAGAGATTTTTAGGATGATAAAAGGATTTGATAGGGTGGATGCAGAAAAGCTATTTCCTAGCAAAACAAGGGGTCATAGTTTTAAAATTAGAACCAAACCATTTAACAGCGAAATTAGGAAGCATTTTTTTCACTCAAAGGGTGGTAGAAATCTTGAACTCTCTATTCCAAAAGGTCGTGGATGCTGGATCCATCCACACCTTCAAGAAAGAGATTGACAGATTTTGGTAGGTCGGGGTATTAAGGGATATGGGGAGAAAGCGGGAAATTGGATTTGAAATTCTAGTAAAGATATAGATCAGCCATGGTCTAATTAAATGGCGGAACAGGCTCAATGGGCTTAAAGGCCTACTCATGTTCCTATGTTCCTACCACCTTCATTAGCTGGGCGTCATCTGCAAACTTAGCCATTGTGGCTAAGTTGCGACTCCTAGTTCCAGATCATTTATAAAAATATTAAACAAAAGAGGTCCGGAACAGACCCTTGTGGAACTCCACTGGTAACATTTTCCCACTCTGATGATATTCCCTGTACCACTGAAATTCCCTGTACCAAACCGTCAAAGAAAAACAGTAAATTAGATTGGCAAGATCTTACTTCATGAAACCATGTAGGCTATCATTTATGATTTTATTTCTATCCAGATGCTCCATGATTTTATCTTTAGTAAAAGTCGCCATAATTTTAGCCACAATGGACATCAAACTTACTGGTCTGTAGTTTCCTGGGTCACTTTTGTTACCTTTCTTAAAAATAGGAGTAACATCTGATGATTCAGCTGATTTTTACTTCTGTATTTGAAACGAAACTCATAATTTATTGTTCTAACAAAGGCCAACTGATCTCTTCCAGACACGAACGGTGGTTAAAAAACTGGCAGTGGCACCAAGTTGGACCAATTATGGACTCAGGATATTTGGTTATATTCACCCCTACGCTGATAGTAAGTCACTTCTGCCTCTGGTTGCTCTGTGTCCATGCTGGCAATGTAATATTGATAATGATAATAATTCTTGCATTTGATAAAGCATCTTATCACATCATTGAGAAGCCTCAAAGCGCTTCGCTCACTGGGCTTACTGCAAGTGGTGTGACTGTGTGTATTTTGTGGGCAATGTAATGTTACATTAAGCAGACTCATGCACCACCAGAGAGGTCAGGATTGGATCTGGCATGATTGTTGTGTATTGACTATATTGCAATCTAACCTTCAAGGGTTACAACAATAACAATAATAATTGTTACATTTGATATACCCCTTTCACCTTGTGAGGACATCTCAAAAAACGCTTACAGGATTTACAGTGAAGTGTGGTAAGCGTGTTTGAATGAGTGATTCAAAAGTATTGAGGGCATGGATTCACCCTGTCACAGGTTGTGCATACTGAACAGCGATATGTAAATGCAGGAAGAAAGGACTGCTTTAAAATGATTTAATTAATTTAGTTTGATCATAAACTCTGCTGAGATTCTTTTCTGAGCATCTCAGTAATACAGGACAAGGGACCCGGGAGTCTTACTGGAGGGGGAGTGGGGTGTGGGGACGAGTTACAGAGTCCAGCTTCCACTGACTGAGCACTCCATCTAGGCAGTGGTGCCCAGAATTAATGCATTCCTGCAGGAGGGAGGGCAATTGAGCGACTTATTAACAATGATCCATTCACCTTGCTGTAATTGCTGGTTCCTATCTAGCCCCTCTTTCACCTGCATGGGTGGGAATGGAGTCCTAACGTAAGATAAATTTCAGTATATGACTTGGCGAGAATTGGCGAGAAGCGAACTTTAGTGAGCTTGGACATGATTGATGCCACATTCTCCGACAGCTTCACTTCTGTGTTCTGCCCACCCCAAATGGATATCTCTATTTTGCTTCAACCCGGATCCGTGTAGGTGCTGCCAGGTGAAATGTGGAAGCGCGTTTTCCCGTGTTCCATGTTCTTTGCATGAAGAGATCCCCTTCCTGTACTGCTGCCAGAGCACTGCATGGTCCACTGGTACCCACCACAGAACAGAGTTCACTGCCGGCACTACACTGCCTCATGCAGACTAGATCAGAGCTTCTGTTAGCATTAATTTAAGCTAAATCCAACATTAAATGATGTGATGTGCAGCGTCGTGCCTGATCTTCGCCCCAGGGCAGCTATCTGGGAAATGGGATTGACAGTGAGCATGGCAGGTGGGATCCCAGCAGACACAGTCATTTTACTGTCCTGTTCCCAGGTGAATTCCAGTTTGTGGTGGCCTCTGACGATAATTCTGAGTTCTGGCTGAGCACAGATGACACCCCGTCCAACGTCATGTTGCTGGCAAGGGTCGGGAAGGTATGAGATTGTGAGCGCAGCACCTTGAAACAGAGTTAAATCCAGTGTACATATTTTTTGCCTCAGTGAATTTTTTTATATAGCAATTTAAGCAGACTTCAGATGCATGCAATAAAATGTATTCCGTGTCCCATTTCAAAGGATTCTTACTTTTGATATATCAGGATAGGTGGTATCTCAAAGCGCTTCACAAGATTTACTGGGAAGTGTAATGACTGTCTATTTTGTAGGCATTCTTAGCCGCCAAAAAGTGAATGACTGATTTTTTTAAACCTGGGGAAATTGTAGGCCAGGTACTGGGAGAAACTCCATTCTCTTTTTGAATAATGACATGGGACCTTTAACATCCACTTGAACAGATACACACGGCCTAAGTTTAACATCTCATCCGAGGCACGGCACTTCCAGCATTGCAGTGTTCTCCCAGCACTGCACTGGAGCAGCAGCCTTGACTGGGTAAATTCAAAAGTCATGACTTGGGGCTTGAACCCACAAACTTCTGACTCGGAGGCGAGAGTGCTACCAACTGAGCCAGACTGACATTTATATTAACACTATGCAACTATGGGCCAAAAAGCACAAGGTAACCTTCTGATTCCATCCTAGACTGGCAAAGAGTGGACAGCCCCAGGGGAATTTGGAAAATTTCAAAGCCAGGTCTCCAAGCCCATCCCGTGAGTATGGCACGATTCAATTATCAAAGCATTCCTGACCCACAGCAACTACCCGATTGTTACGAAAGAGGGAGTTTCATCTTTTCCTCTTTTTCAGCAGTCTGAAGTATTTTCTTGGAAAGCTTTTTCCTTATCAAACAAAGAAGTTGATCTTGCTATTCCTTTTGTAGGCCATTTGAAGGCAACTTTGCGGTGATTTTGATCAGAGATATAAAGTAATTATATATATAATCTTTGCATTTGATATAGCTCCTTATCACGTCCTTGAGACGTCTCCAAGCGAGTCTTTCTAATAAGCACGTTATTATAATAAATCAGGTCCTTTGATATTAAAAAAAGTTGACGTCTAGACCCAGCTGAAAATTTCAGCCAACCCCCCATTATCCACGTATTCAAGTGTAACAGGAATAATTATCTTTGCATTTGATATCGTGCCTCATCATGTCACTGAGACATCTCAAAGCACTTTGCAGGATTTTATTGTGAAGTGTAGAGACTGTGTGTTTGTATATCACAAGCTTGAATAGCCATTTGACGGGAGATTAGCTACGATGATATACGGAAAGCTTTTTTTATATCTTGTCCTGAAACTGGAGAGATAAATCCGCAGTAATTTATAGCACAGGCAGAGGTCATTCGGTCCACTGAGCTGGCTGGCTGAAACAGTGTGTTGTTAGTCTCATTCTCCTTCCTTTTCCCCACACCCTGTTATATTCCTAAACCCTGCACTCACCGTGATCTGTGAAGATTGATAGAATAGTACAAATGAGTAAATACAACAGCAACTTGCATTTATATCGCGCCCTTCATTTTGGTTGAGTCTAAAAGCACTTAAATGATTGTTATTCCCATCTTTTAAATCCACATTCAATTGAATTTGAACATCTCGAATGTTGCTTTCCTAATGATGAGAGTTGAGTTTGAATCCTGCTCTTAACCCAGCGCGACACCTCCCTGAGAGGGAGCGGTTTCCCGCCCTGTGCTGGGTTCCTGGGGTCTGTGTATTGGCTCAGGTGAAATTATGGGAGGTCAACCAAATGGTTGTAATGATTGCATCCTCATTGTCCCTAAAGGGTGGACTGTCCAACAAGGCAGGGTAGATGCTTTGGGGGTTGGAACAGAAGGGGAAAGTCTGAACGTTTTTTTGCTGTAGTTGACTCTTGATTCAAGTACAAGTCAAATTTGTTTGTTCAAAGCAGGAGTGCACGTGCGCAGTGCATTACCTCTGCTTTCCACCACTCCCCACTTCATCGCTGCTCTCCTCACCCTCTTTGCTTCACCTTTGTTCTCCAACCCTCATCTATCTAGTGTTGAGCATGGACAAGCTATTTTGCAGGAGGCACTATTGCTGGCCAGCTGCCAGCATCTGTGAAATGTTGCCATTCTGAGTCAGCGACTTCTAGATGGGGTGGGATCTGAAATATCTTATGGCTCCTTAACGAAAGTTCACAGTGCCAGACTAGCTGTAAGCCCTAGTATCAATAAAACACTTGTTACCCACACTTTTACAGCAGTTACTTCCTTCACGTCATCCTGCCTTTCTCTGTTTGCTGCCTGCAGATTGCTGTCTCACAGGAAATATTACTTTGAACTATTACACAAGCAAAACGACCAGGGAACCGATCATGTTGAAGTTGCTGTAAGTTCTTATTGATTTGTACCTTGAACAAACAAACACGTTTAGAGAAAATAAGCCATTGACGCTTTTATCTTATCGTTCCCCATTAATGGTGAAACGTGTGTTTGAAATGTAGAATATTGACTTTGGAGGTACAGTCGCTGAGTGCTGCCCAGTCAGGGTTATGTTTTATCCCTTTGTTGTCACTCCATACACAATGTTCTGCTCCCATGTAATCATTCAAAGTGTTTTAAGGTCACCGGATAAAATTGTTTGTCACCCAGATAAAATTGATGGGCCGGGCTAAAAGGGTTATACTAACTGGTGATTCCGGGGTGTGTGGTGGACAACCCCCAGAATCTGATCGGAAGCAGATCTGTACCCCCAACACCCCCAAATACCAACGAGGGATTCACTATTCATTCCTTAATTTGCCAATCTCATGGGTTGGACCCCAAGTGCATTGTGAAATTTACAATTTACACAACCGATTTGAACAGCAGTGAGTCAGTGTTAGAAAGTTGTTTGTGAAAATGGATTGATTGTGGAAATGGCTTTGCCAGTATTTCGTTTTTCTGGTGACGGAACGGGTTCGTTTGAGGCATTTGCAAAAGGGAAGGGAAGAGATGGCCCTTAATCTATGCCATCTCTGCCATCTTGGGACACCGGATGTCACCGGCGATTTTCCCAGTGGCCGAAATGCGGAGCAAGAGATGAGAGGTAAACCAAAGGCTGTGTGGGGACAGTGCATCACTCTCCAGCCGTTTATTACCATTAAAGCTGCTTTTGGAACTTGTAGTGAATACTCTGTTTACTTGCAATTAGAGCTCACTGTGGTTAGTGTTTCCCATCCCTTTAGCAATTTTCTCAAATTAGGCTCTTAATGTAGATTGTTTTACAACAGATGTGACCCATTTTATATGTGTTTCTTTTCCAGTGGCGGCTGCATAGTCCAGGCCTTACGTTCAGTATTATTGATTCTCGGTATATTTCACTCTATACGAGTAAGTAAAGATGCTATTATACAAACATAATTCACATATATAAAAATGTCAGTTTCCTAACTTACCAGATCCTGTAGCAGGTGAAATGGAGAGGCGAGGCAAAATTCGGTGCAACCTTGTTACAAAATAACTTGCATTTATATCACGCCTTTCACGCGGAGTAGCAGCTTGGAGTGCTTGGCAGTAGCAGAGCTTGACGCCAAGCCAGGGAGAGAGGCACAGTCAATGAGGAAGATCTTCTGGTGTGACCTGAAGATGGGCAAGTAAGAGGCAAGGTGCAGGGATTGAGACAAGGATTTCATAGTTACAGGGTGTAGAGGCTGAAAACACAGCCGCCAACACAAAGCAGAAGGGCGAGGGATGTGCAGGAGTGCTGAGCAAAGGGGTGGGTAGAGGAATGGGATATGAGCAGGTTGGAGAGGTAGGGAGGTGCCAGGGAGTGAAGTGGTTTGTATAATGTGCTCGTTGCAGCACTGAATCGCTTCTAATAGGAATGCAGCCCATGTACTACACTGGCTTGGTTCCCACACTAAAAATGGCTAACTTCCAGGTCATCATGTCGCTGCTGACATCACTTCTGGCCTTGCATATTTCCAGGGCACAAGAAGTGAGGTCTGCAGGGATTCGATGACCAAGGATTCATCCACTTGTGTTAGTGTGGGAACTGTCCATCATAGGCCTCTTTGGGATTGGGATTCGATGCCGCCTCCCTCAATTTCCACCTTCAGACAGGACTCCACTCTAACAGGGCATTAAATGTGTCTAAATGTGTCCAAGAGCTCTGCTGGAGACTTAAAGAGATGAATTATGTTACACTGTTGATGTCGTCTCTACTTTCCACACAGCATATCGAGAAGTAATAGTTTGCATGTCATGAAAATAGGAGTTGGCGATGTACTTGTTAAATTGAACTGTGCTGAGTTATTATTAGGCAATTATGAAATAATTATATTTCCTACTTGCTGCTAGCGAGAGGGGGAAGTGGTGAGGTGACTGTAGAATTTAAGGATGGATAGAAAGAGGGCAAGATAGACTGAAGTGCATTATAATGGGTGCTGGTCTGTATAAGTGGATTATTTTGTAAATTGCTCCAACGCAGTAAGACTAGAAAGCACCATTGATTTCTGGAGGTCAGTGCCTTCACAAATTTTTTCTGCCTTTGTGTATGTTCTGTTCCAGATGAATCATTCATCCAAATGAACGAAGTACAACATATTCCACAGTCGATTGCAAGCCACAGAAAGAGCTATGGCTATGTACGTCCCCATGGAAACCACCCCGCAGAAATGCTGAAGCACCATCCACGAGATACCTTTTTCCAGTGTAAGATTTCTGTCCGTATGTTTCCCGTTCAATGTAATAGTTATCTTACTAAACTTTCCTAAACTAAACTCCCTGGAGGTTCTATATAATATAAGTTTTACCTTAAGAGATTTGGGTACAGAGTTTGGTCTGGTTAATTATGGGGGCAGCAGAGTTTTGAATGAGCTGGATCTTTTGAATGGTGGAGCTGGGGAGCGTGGAGTGCCTCAGTGCGAAGAGAATAGAGCCTTTGGGCAGCCTTTGGCTATTGTCACACACGTGTACAATTTGCTATGGGACAGTCAGCAGACTACTAAAATATAGAGCTATTCAGTTGCCCTCCCCACCCACACATACAAACAAATCTGGTTTGCACGACAGTGGAATATTTAGCAATCAAGCAATATCCTTTATGGTGCTGTGAGTGAGTGCAACTCTTATAACCAATATGCATTCTTTTTTTCCAGTTGATTAATTTTGCCATAACTCTTGTGATCTGCAGGCAGGAACTCTGTATCATCTAACAGAGGTTTAAGGGCACGTTTCCTGTAGTTTTCAGTTACCTATCTCTTTTTCTGGTCTTTGAATGTTTTGCTCCTTTGTTGAATTCACCAATCCTTTGTGGTACAATTACTAAATGTATTTCTGTTATGAAATAGAATTGGACATGGGGCTCTGTGTTTCAGGTAAATCAATATGTCTTCATTTCTGTTATTTTTGTATCTTATCGCTTTTTATTAATGAATAGTAAACCTTGCAAGTTTTGGAGAAACATCAATCTTTTGCCTTGGGGCTTCAGAATTGCTTCATTCAGAGAAAATCTGAAGTTTCTAGCTTCCACTCCCAGAGGATCTTATTAAGAATTCTTCACTAATGCAATAATCATAGTCCTGCTTTATTGGTAAATGATCCAATGGAAGATCTGGCACACTGTTTAATCTCGTTCTTCATCTTATTTCAGTGCCTTTCATTGAAGAGTCCAAGATCCGCCAGGTGTTGCCCGAGTGTGTCTACAGACCCAGCTATGTTATAAAGGGATTCCCGCTGCTTCGCTATCAGGGATTGCAGTTTGTAAGCGCATTTTATTTTAAGTTTCTACAGGGAGAGAGAATGACCATGCTACAACTTCTCAGTGCTGACTGCAAGCGAGCTGTGTGCTTTGCTCACATAGGCTTCAGTTGGCAAAGGCCAAAATTGCATTTATTTCCTTCTGTGATCAAACATGCTGAATTTCTATTCCTTTAGTTTTTATAATAATTTATGATTTGAGTGAATAAGTAATGATGTTTAAGTAAGTATAAATATAAAGGTTTGGTTTAGTTTACGTGAGCTCAGTTTTACAGGCAATCCAATTTACAATGTATTCTGTGAAGGTCTTTGAAATGTCTCAACGATTGATATGGCGCAATATCAAATGCAAGAGTTGTTATTATTATTAGTTGGTTGGGGCATTGCATTGTTACAAGTTTCCTGTTCAGTATCATGCTGTAGTTCTGGACTCTTGACAGTGTACAGAAGTGCTTTGATTCTTATCGATCTGCGCACTTAAAGCTGAGATTTCTCCCGGCTTTTACTAACTAAGCCGAGAGCTTTCCTCAGAAATTATCAGTCTGGAAAGCCATTTGTTTTGTTGGAGATGTTCTATTAAACCAGAAAGATCAATACAAAACTCAGATCATTCTTCAGGCTGTCAAAGTTAACAGTGTTCTTCAAAGACTGCTGATGTCATGGTACAACAACAATAACAAAATTACGTCTGTATAACACCTTTCACGTCGAGAGGATGTCCCAATGTGCTGGACAGACAGTTACGGATCCAAGCTGGGGGTCGGGCTGGGGGAGGGTGGAGGACAGGAGAGGGAAGCAGGGTGATCGAAAGCACAGTCGAAGAGGAGGGTCTTGAAATGGGTCTTGAAGGTGGCAAGGGAGGGGCCAGGCGGAGGGACTGCGGGATGGAGTTCCAGAGGGTGGGGGCAGAGTGGCAGAAGGCCCACCCGCCAATAGTGGGGCGATCAAGGCGCGGGGGATGTGAAGCAGGCTGGAGCCCGCTGAGCGGAGGGAGCGAGCAGGATGGTAAGGGTTAGGATCAGCCCCTACCAAACTAAGTAAATGAATATTGATAATGGATTAAAAAATGCAGTTAACTTGCAGAATTATTTCAAAACTTTCAAGCTACTCTAACTACAACTGAGAATGAGGCGTTGTTACACCACTTGGTAGACGATATACATTTTTATTATGTGATATTGTTGTCAAGTTAATATGTTAGTTAATGGGAAACTGGAGATCGCCACCTTGTGGATATTATCTTGCACATCAGCAGACTTTTATCATCAGAAATAAGGACAGAATTCTCATTCTTGTTTATATTTGTGTTGAGGTGTGCAATTTAAATTTCAAGCCAAATATAAAAATTTTGACAAAGGTTATTACGTTTGATTAGATGTCACCTTGGCTTAGTTGGTAGCACTCTCTCATCAGTGGTCATGAATGTTTTGGGTTCAAGCTCTACATTGGGACTTTGAGCTCACAGTCTACAAGGCAGTTTCTTCTGATTGTCGTGGCCAACAATCCACCCTTTAAATTTATTTCATGGCTGTTTGTTGACTGAAATACAAATATGTATATCAGTAACTATTTGATCATTACCGGTAATGACTTTTGTCCTTTTATTTTCATTCCAGGTTCACCTGACCTATGTGTATCCCAATGATTACACAAGGCTCACACACATGGAGTCAGAAAACAAATGTTTTTACTATGAGAATATGTATTACTTTGAGAGGTGAGGATGTCGTTGATTCGCAAAATTTCACAGCAGTAGTAATAATAAGCTTTGCATTTAGTATAGGAATATATTATAGCTTCATTCACGTCAGCAGGATGTCCCAAAGCGCTTCACAGTATATATTTTAAAGTTGAGTGACTGTGTGTTTTATGGGCGAATGAGGCAGCCAATTTGGCCACAGTATTTGACAATGCTATTCCATACAATGGAGTCTAACTCAGTGGATGGGAATTTCTAACAGGATTTTTAATATGAAAGCCAGAAGTACAGCTCAGGAACTCTTAGGAACTCCACTCCTATACAATCTCCGTTCAGGGTGGAATTGCAATGTGTCAATGTGACATTAGCAGAAGGAGTCCCCACTCAGGGAATGCACCCCAGTGTATTGGAAAATGTGGGAGTCGATCAAGGATTGAAGGATGGGATGGGGGGGGGTGTGGCGAGATTTGGCTGACTTGGCTCCACCCCTCTGCGTCGCCAAATCTCCCCCCACACCCCATCCTTCAATCCTTGATCCATTTCCTCCTAACATGGCTCTGATTGGCGGAATGGGCAATGTCCGGCCTTTGATTGGCAGCTGTCTGTCAGTTGGGGTCGGTGGCAGGATAAGGGGCTGTGATTGGCGACTGGGCTGTCAGTCAGTGGACGGTAGAAAACAGCAACGTGAACAGGAAAAAGTACAGATAAGTGAGTCCGTTTGGGCTGACTTTTTTTGCTGACTTGAATCAACCTCAGTGTGATTGAGTGGGTCATGATCCCCCCCCCCCCACCTCACTCCGACCCGCATTGTCTCTGCTACTGGGAAAGCTACTGCGCTGTTGTTTTGATTGCCCATCTCAAACCAATAAGGGAGGGTTGAAGGTTTAAATGTTTTCCAATTACCTGTTATGACATTGTAATGGTCTCAGAACATCAGCCTGGCTCAGATGGTAGCACTCTTGCTTCATAGATAGAAAGTTGTGGGTTTAAGCCTCATGTCAGGACTTTGAGCTCACAGTCTAGGCTGACACTCCAGTGCAGTGCTGGGGGAACACTGTGTTGTCAGAAGTGCCGTTTTACAGACAAAATGTTAAAACTGAATCCCAACTGCCGAATTGAGGTTAGATCCCATGATATGAAAAGGTAAGAGCTTTTCTCAATGTCCTGGCCAACAATCTCCAAATGAAATTAGTCACTAACTCCGTAGCTGTTTGCTGTTTGTTTCTCTGCCATGTTCACCTATATAGTATACAATCACTGAACATTAGAATAAAGACTATGAAGCATCTTGAGATTCAACAGACTTGAAAGTGTATATCAAATGCAAAGATTATTATTATTTACTATTATATAATATTGTGCTTTCTACTTTATCCAAAAGATTTGGATTCAGCAGATACATGAAGATGGACACACTAGAAAAAGACAAGGAAAATCTTTTCAGGATGGGAGCAGGTAACGTTTTAAATTGCATTTGTGATTCAGTGCAAAATAATAATTCTCTGTTTGTACAATTAAAACGTTGGCGTGTTCGCTGAATTAAATAACCACTCCTGCTCATCATTGAGGATTGCTTTTTGGGGATTTGGACTGCACTGCCCCAGAGAGCCATAGATGCAAAATTGACAGAAGTATTTAAATTATAAAAGGATATGATGAGAAAAGATAGAAGTGGGATTAGATGGAAATGGGATTAAGGGAGATGATAGTTCATTGTGCTATGGGATAGTGTATTGCTCAGCAAGGTCGATAGTTCAAATGGCATTTTCTAATCTATGGTTTGTCAAACCCCAACCAACAAAGTTAAAATTTCCAAATGGTAATATCAGAACCTCTAAATGTTGGTTATGTTGCAATTTTGTAACTTGACTGTGCGCTCACTCTAATTTCAGGCTGTGGAAGATCCTTTGAAATCCATGTTCTATTACTGTATCGAATACAAAGACCTGATCTGGAAATACTCGTAATTACCAAAGCTCTCGTTTGATGGTTACACACCTGTGCCCCTTACAGCAGCAATCGATCACGGGGCAGCAATTCTGACCGATGTGCTTTCACAGTTAATGTTTTTGAGGTTTAGGAAAGAACAAGCGAGAGTGAAAGACAGCGCAGTAGAACAAGTGAATGCGTGTCGTGACATTACAACAGATAGCAGGTGCCACAAATCAGAAACCCGTGAGATAGCGCATTGGGATCGCTTAGGAGGAACAAGAGAGTAAAGTTTGAGAATAAAAATAGTTTTGAATAAAACCTTGTTCTTGCCATGATTAATAACAACATTAATAAAAATAATAATGTTATTATAAAAATATTCTAGTGCAAGTATAGTTGCAAAATGAGTTGAACCCAATCACGCCTTGACCTGGGTGGCCTTTTTTCTTCAGGGATGCCCAATAAGCAGAAGTTCAATGATGAGCAGAGGTGGGAGGAGAATGCTGACCACGAGGATGAGTATTATTACGAAGAGGGCGATACAAAAGCCGATGCGGAAGAGCAGAGTCGGGACCACGTTGAGGAGGTTGAGCAGCCGAATGTGCAGGAGCCTGCACGAGATGACCGAGAGGAAGGTGTCAATCTGAAGGACTACGGCGATGACTATGATGATTACGCTTTTAATAGGAGAAGAAAGCTATTTCATTTTATAGCAAAAGCAGCCGATGATAATGCCTTTGACCATGACAAGGGTATCGGCCTAAAGGGAAGAGGGACAGTGGCTCAAAGAGAAATGATGACCAGCCGTAACAAAATGGCTGTTGCTAAAAATATCGTGCAGAACATCACCTTTCTGAGAATCAGTTGGCAAAGAGCAAAGGACTCTCCCGTTCTCCAGAAACCCAGATACAGAGCATCGGTAAGTGCATCACCATTGGACAACATAGAAAGGCGACAAGTAAACCCCTCGGTCAGAGAGAAGACAAAAGGCGAAAGGATTGTGACAAAGGGTATCTCTCGCAGAGAAAGCCTAGATAGGAATAAAACTGCTAATAGGCTTCAGCTTGCTGAGAGAGGTATTCATAGGTATAAGAAGCAACCGGGAAAGAAACCAGCGGATACAGTTGGTCAGCAACCAAACAGAATAGTGCATACCCCACAGCAGCCTGTCTCACCACTGAGAGTGCAGAGGAATGATGGCGTGTCTCAGAACAGTACCGGGAACAGAACGGGAACCAATTTGCTGAAAAATGGCCGAGAATTGAAACCGCGGCCTGAAGAGAAAGGGAAAGCTGGTGCCAAGGGACAGTACAGAAGATCGAGGAAGTCTGAGCCTGGTAACAGGAAGGGAATGTTGCACAATACCACGGCTCAGGGTCTCCCAGCAATTCCACTTGCAATGGAGGCCCGGCCAGTCCAAGTAAACAGTCAGACAAAAGCCAAACAACCCTTCATGGGAAGGGAGATAGACCACGATTACATCGACAAGAAAAACAACGCTGCATTTCGAAATCCCACAATTAAAATCCAAGATGGGTTCAAACAACTTGGCAGAACCGATCGGAAATGGGGTTCAATCTCCTCCATGGATTCTGTAACTAACAGCAAGCGAGCTGAGGTGGGGGTGGGGGAGGAGGAGGGTATGGAGATGGAGGAGGACACAGAAGAGCAGGATGATCTGACTGCGTATCAACATGTGTTTGATAAAGCAGTGAACTGGGAGCAGACCTTCTCAGTGAACAATCTGAATTTTCATGCTTTAAGGTCAGACTGGATTGATCTCCGGTGCAATGTTTCTGGCAACCTGCTGATCAAAGAGCAAGAGGCCCTGGATATAGCTGAAGCATATATGAAGAAGCTGAATGAGAAGCATAATGGGTAGGTGGTGGCTCACATCTCTGTAAAAATCGGTCACTCACTCCATGGCTATTTGTGGGACATTGCTGTGCGCGACTGGCTGCCACGTTTCACCACCCAAATACACAGCCAATACACTTTACAGTATATCCTGTGAAGCATAAGAACATAACAATTAGGAGCAGGAGTAGGCCATTCGGCCCCTCGAGTCTGCCCCGCCATTCAATAAGATCATGGCTGATCTATTTAACGCCCACCTACCCGCCTTATCCCCATATCCCTTAATCCCTTTATCCACAAGAAATCTATCAATCTCAGTCTTGAATATGTTCAAGGACTGAGCATCTACAGCCCTTTGGGGTAGAGAATTCCATAAATTCACTACTCTCTGAGTAAAGAACATAAGAATTGGAGCAGGAGTAGGGCTTTAGGTTTCTATAAGATCACCTCTCATTCTTCTATATTCTAGAGAATATAGGTCTAAATTGCTCAACCTATCCTCATAACTCATCCCCCTCATCCCTGGTACCAAACTAGTGAATCTACATTGTACCCCCTCCAAGGCAAGTACGTCCTTTCTTAAATAAGGAGACCAAAACTGCACACAATACTCTAGGTGCGGTCTCAGCAAGGCCCTACACAGTTGCAGCAAGACTTCCCTACTCTTATACTCTAACCCTTTTGTAACAAATGCCAACATACCGTTAGCCTTCCTAATTGCTTGCTGTACCTGCAAACTAACTTTTTGTGACTGGTACAAGAACACCCAAGTCCCTCTGAATGCTCACACTATCTAGTCTCTCCCCTTCTAAAAAATAATCTCTATTGTTTTTGTCACCTAGGTGGATGACCTCACACTTCCCTACATTATACTTCATCTGCCACCTATTTGCCCACTCACCAAGTCTATCTATATCTCGTTGCATTTTTTTAATGTCATCCTCTGTGTTTACTCTCCCTCCTAGTTTAGTGCCATCCGCGAATTTGGATATATTAAGTTCGGTGTCCTCATCTAAATCCTCAAGCACTTTGAGACATCTCAACAAGATGCTATAAAATGCAAGGATTATTATTAATATTAATAATTGCTCTTATATTGCACCTCTTTTCATTTCCTTTTTTTACAATTCACTGTGTCCTGTATTATTTTTCTAATTTTCTCCCAATTTTCAAACTCCTTCTCGCCTGGTTTCCAGAGATGTGTTTCTAATGTTTGTTGTCCCGTCCACCCCCCCACCCCAAAAGCCCCCCACAGCTGAGCACCATTCATGTGAAAGTCTGAGCAGTGACTGTCAGCAACCACTCTACTATAGAAGATGTCACAGCCAAGCCTGACCTCTCCCCACTTGGCTTTCACACGTGCACTACCAGTAGAGGGTGTTGTAGGAATAGGAACAGGAATAAGCCATTCAGCACCTCGAACCTGTTCTGCCATTTTGTTAGATCATGGCTGATCTGCACCTCAACTCCAATTACCCACCTTTACCCCTTATCCTTTGATACCATTACCTGTAGAGCGACCAGGTGCAATAACTGGGTCTCAGTGGAATCTACAAATAACAACAATCCTTGCATTTGATTGCGTTTGGTGGAGTCCTGTAGCTTAGTGGTTAGAGCACTTGTCTCACAAACGAGAGGACCTGAGTTTGATTCCCAGCAGGGCGAAATGTTAGACAAGTTCCTTTATGCCTTTGTTTACCTACCAGCTGTAAATAGGAACCTGGTTGTTAGTCGATTGGTGGATCGCTTTTCCAGGGCTAATAATCACTTTTAAAAAAAATTATAATTTGGTCACTCAATCCACGACAGTTTGTGGGACAGCTCTATGTCAAATGCAAGGATTATTATTATTATTAACCTTAATAAAAGAAGTATAAGTACAAGGTCTAAAAGGAAACAACAAATAATAATTATAATCCTTGCATTTGATACAGCGCTTTTCACCTCAGGAGGATGCTCTTCACAGGATTTACTGTAAAGCATAATTTGTACTGTGTGATATATTGGTAAGTTTTGTACTTTCAAAGGAAAACAATGGAAAGTATTAAGATTAGCAATTGAGAAACACCTCTTGTCTCAAGGTTGACAGGAATCCTTTTAAAAATTTGGCATTGTTTACTACTTCAGCTGTGTTCTGCCAGGCTATTGGTTTCATTCCAATCAGTTTATCTCGTCAATAAAAAGAGCACTTGGCAGTAGTGATGATATTTGCTCTCAAAAAATTTCCGGCTGCTGAGGGAGAAATAAACTTGAGCCTTAGATTTCCCAACAAAGGCTTCATTTAAGTGTTTATTCCTACTTACCAGGCAGTGCTGTAGGCTGTAGTCATTGAATGCAGTGGCTTTCAGTGTTCATTTGTATTAATATTGAAACTAATATTCAATCCTGACCTGAGGCACATCAAATAGACCCTCAGTGTCCCGTTCTCACCCACTAAGCAAGTTTTGCAATGTGTGTGTGTTGGGGGTGGGGGGAACCTAAATAATATCTAATGCTCATTGCTGGCAAGCATTTATGGATATTTTTGTTGAAGATAAAGCAATCTCTCTCTCAGCCTTTTCCTGAATTGATTTTTTTTCAATGCTTTTTCTGCTGCTTGTTTTTTTTTTTCCTGCCTCCCTCCTCACCATGCAGCCTCCAAACCTTTTTTCTTCCTTTTAAAAAAAATAACCATTTAGTGTTGATGTAAACCAGTTAAGAAATTAAGGAGAACTCGCAAACCTCCAGTTATATCAGTGTGAATACATAGCGAGCGTTAATAATTCAAACACATGTGCCACCCAATCACCAACATGTGTCCTCTCAGAGGTGCTGAAGACTCAACACCATCTCCAGGCTGTGTTATAACCTGGCAGAGTGCTGAACTGTGAGGCTTGTAGAGTTATATGGAATGATACAGTATAGAAACAGGCCTTTTGACCCAACCAGTCCGTGCTGGAGTCATTACCCCACACCAGCCTCCACCCTTCCTATACCCAACACCTATACATCCCAAATCCCTTCTCCCTCATGTCTGCAGGTTTTCTCTGAAATGCTTTGTGCTTTTTGCTTCGACCACATCTTCCGAGTTTAGGAGGAACTTCTTCACCAGAAGAAGTTGCACATTCACACCGCTTTCTGGGTGAGGAAGTTCCTCCTAAACTCATAATAATATTAATAATAATCCTTGCATTTGATATTGCGCCTTACTATGACTTTGAGACCTCTCAAAGCGCTTCACAGAATATACTGTAAAGTAAATTGACTGCATATTTTGTGGGTGAAATGGCGGCATGTGAAAATATTCTTGTGGGGATGGGGTTGGCTCAATGGTCGGTCCCCTTTAATACAGTCGCAGCCTCCATGCCAGCATCTCCTCCTTCCTCACCTTGCAGTCTTCATGCCAGAATCAAAGGTATCCCCCCACCTCTTTCTTTTCCTCACCACATAGACTGAGCAGTCCGTCAAAGAAGTTGGGGCAGCCATCGTTGAACCTGGCATGGAGCCTCCGTGGGGAGGAGGCAAGCAGCCATTTATTTAGCCACAAACACACACACACCTAATGAGTGAGCTGTAGATAGATTTGGGGGGGAGGACTGAGTCTCCTCTAGCCCTCGACACCCCCGTCTATACCTAAAGTGTCTGTTAGATATACCACTTATATAACAACAACACATTGCATTTGTATAGTGCCTTCCATGTTGGGAGGATGCCCCAAGGTGCTGGACACTCAGTGATTTGGACCCAAGCTGGGGGTTGGGATCAGGAGGGGTGGAGGGTAGGGAGGGTAGGAGTAGGAGGGAGGTTGAAGGCACAGTCGAAGTGAAGGGTCTTGAGTCATGCCTTGACGGAGGGAAGGAGCAAGGCAAACGATTGTGGGATAGCATTCCAAAGGGTGGGGGCAGAGAGGCTGAAGGCCGTTGGTGGGGCACTCTCCCCAATGCTGACGCCCAGCTCGGGTCCGAAACACTGACTGTCTAATGCCTTGGGACATCCTCCCGATGTGAAAGACGCTATACAAATTTAATTTTGTTGTTGTTGTTGCTGAGCAGAGGGTGCGGACAGGTTGATATGGTGTTAGCAAGCAACAGTAGTAAGAAGGAGAAAGGTAATGGAGGGAATTGAAGGCGAGGATGAGGGTTTTGAACTCTATCCTCTGGGGGATGGGGAGTCATTGGAGCTGAGCAAGGGTGGGGGTGATAGGGTCATGGAGCCTGGTGCAGGAGAGGACACAAGCTGCAGAGTTCTAGATGATTTGTAGCTTGTGGAGGGAAGAGTTGGGAAGGCTGACAAGCAGGGAGTTGGCACAGTCGAACCTAGTTGTGATGAATGTGTGGATGAGGGTTTTGGTTGCCTGAGGGGAGAGGCAGTGGCAGAGCCAGGCGACATTGCAGAAGCAGGGGAAGGCAGAGCAGGTCATGGGACGGATTTGGCGTAGAAACGATAGTTGAGGGTAAAACAGGATGCCAAAGTTCCGGACTGGCTTAGTAAGGTGGAGTGTGCATCCATGGATGGTGATGCTGTCAGTGCCTGAGGTGTGAAGGCACTGACGGGAGCCAATCAGGAGGGCCTCGGTCTTGGTTGATGTTCAACTGAAGAAAGTTAGCTCTCATCCAGGACTTGATGTCTGACAGACATTCTGTCAGGACAGCAGTGATCCTGGAGTCAAGAGTGGAGGCACATACATGTGGAAGTTGATACATGCGGAAGTTGATCCCAAGTCTGCGGATAATGTCACCAGGAGGGAGAAGATTATATTGATGTCCTCATTTTGAACTCGTGAACAAGTGGAAACAGCCCTTCAATATCAGCCTCGCGAGAACCCTTTTCAGAATCTTAAGCACCTTGACCGGTTTCATAGTCTAGGCTGACTATTTTGAAGCTCCAAATTCGGACTGAATTTCAGAATTGTCTCACAATTCTGCACGAGGATAACAGGTTAAGACCAAGTGGAATTTTAGTCTTGCTTGCCTGCACTGGAGAGGTAAAAGCAGAACTGCACGCCAAGCGAGCAATGGCAAATTGAATGTGGGGACACTTTTACTGTTGGTTTTAAAACTATGATTTTGTTGTTTTATAGAATGTATACACTTCAGCAAATAATAAACATTGAAAAGCGTCTGGACCGCGTACATGGAAGCCGATACCTCATTGAGCTGGAGCTGCTTGACAGTGAAAACGCAGTGCTGAGACTGTCAGAGTACATTTATGCCCCCAACTCCAAAGGCTACCGGGCAGGTGACGATGAGGAGTGGAAGATGAGGAATACTTTCAGGAACCAAGGTCGGCAGCTCAAGGAAAACCAGGAAAACATGCCTCTCTTGTGCATGCCAACCGGATTCACATGGACGCGGGATGCAATGGTTCATTTTGTGGTTCCAGGTAAAGCAACTGTGCACTTCAGTGTTGATGGTGAAGCTGTCGAGGAGTAGACTGATAAGCAAGCCTGCAACACCTTCAGTTGACTTTGGCATGCGAGCCACTGATAAGGGCTATTCTTCATGAGTCTCAGTGAGGTGTATGAGCTTTTAAGAGGGGATTAGATGAACATCTGAAAAAGGGGAATTGTAAACATTTATGGGGAAAAGGCAGAAGAATGGGAGTAAAGAGCCCAGAACAGACATAATAATAATAATCCTTGCATTTGATATAGCGCTTTTCACGTCAGGAGGACGTCCCAAAGCGCTTCACAGAACACACTGTAAAGTGAATTGACTGTATATTTGTGGGTGAACGCGGCAGCCAATTGCGCACAGCAATGTCCCACAAACAGTCGTAGATTGAAAATGACCAATTTAATTATTGTTTTTGGTTTTTGAAGGGATTATTATTAGGCGTGTGGAGTAAGGAAACTTGCCCAAGGTTTCGCCCTGCCTGGAATTGAACTAGGTCTCTTGCTTGCAAAGCGAGCGCTCTTACCACTGAGCTACAGGACTCCACAAAAAAAGAGGTGGTCTGGCACCGGAAGCGGCCTGGCCTAGCGGGTGGGCCGGGCGCACTGCTCCCCAGGGAGGGCCTCTCACCGAGCCAGACCCCGCGCACAGACGCCTAATGGACCACATGGCCTTATTTCTATAGTTCTAACTAGTATTTTGACATTCACTTAAATGCTAAACCCTTATTCTCTTTTGGTTAGACCACACAGGGTCTGACACATGCGGAAACCCATTACCATGCTTTAGAGAATCCAAACCAGACTGAGAATTCCACATATGTATGCCACCTACACATGGAAATTTCTATGTCTGAAATGGAATGCACACACTCGCTCTTGAGAGACGCCCTCTGTTTTACCTAATTCTGGAGAGTTTAAGGCGTAGGTTGGCAAGAGCCAAGGCTTGGGGACCCTAAAGTGTACAACGGAGTGTCTGTCGCTGGAGCCTAACCAGCTTGCCATTGAGAACACTGTCTGGCAAGCTTCCCACTGCTTGTCTACACTGTTCGGGCAGTGGTGGTCAAACTTTGTGATCGGCCAACAAAATACATTTTTTTTGATTGAACATTTCTTGATTTATGCCATAAATCAAGAACTATTCAATGAAGAAAATAATGGAGACATGTAAACAATCGAACATGGGACGTACCCAGATAGACTTGTGTGAATGTTTGTGGGGGCACTTCTTGACGGCCTTGCAGGCTAGAGGTTGGCCACATTGGGGCTTCGGCTTGTAGGCTTAACGGGCCGAGTGGAAAGAGCTTGCTCCCAGTTAAGCCCTTCATTCATATAGAGGAGTGTTAACTCGGGGTTATACCTGCTGCCTTTTGTATAATTCGCTGTGCAGATAAAAGAAAGCCAGATTGGCAGTCCAGTGTTTGACATTTGTGTATGATCTCCCCTCACAGTGAAAAATCAAGCTCGCTGGGTACAGCAGTTAATTTTTGACATGGAAGAGTTGTACCATGCCACTGGGGATGAGCACTTCAACATCATCATCATAGACTACAGCAGTAGTGATATGAACGTCGAAAAAGCCTTAAAGCATAGCTTGCTTTCCAGGTAGCTACAGCTTGTGTTCCAATTCTAATTGTTTTCTCTCAGAGTTATATATAGCAAAACATAAGAACCTTTACTTGCTGTTCAGCATGAAACAGTTTCTCCCAAGTAACCACAACTCAATAATACTAGAACCTTCTTCCAAAATACCCATATTAAGCAAATTTTTTTAAAAAAAATAATTCCTTGTATTTGATATAGCGCCATATCACGTCTTGAGACATCCCAAAGCGCTTCACAGAATATACTGTAAAGTGAATTGACTGTAAATTTTGTGGATGAAACGCAGCAGCCGCGGCACACAGCAGTGTCCCACAAACAATCGTGAATTGAAGTGACATTTATTATTTTTTTTAAGGAATTATTACTCCTAGAAAAGCAATCCGCCAATCGACTAACAACCAGGTTCCTACTTACTGCTAGGTAAACAGGCATGTAGAGTAAGGAAACTTGCCCAACATTTCATCCTTCTGGAAATCAAACCCAGGTCTCTTGCTTGCGAGGCGATTGCTCTAATTACTGAGCTACAAAACTCCATGTCTGACTTATGTGCATTTTCTTGACCTAATTTGTGATGTATTTTCTGGACAGGTATCAGTTTGTGAAGCTCAATGGAAATTTTCAACGCTCAGCTGGTCTGCAGGCTGGAATAGACCTAATAAAGGTAAGTGCAGAAGGATGACTCATTTGGTAACACTCTCATTGAACTCAGTTGATAACACTTTCTCCTATGAATTAGAAGTTTGTGGATTCACATCCCACAGTGGGACTTTTAGCTCACACTTTAGGCTAACACACCAATGCTGGGAAGAGGTTCTCAGAAGTACTGTCCTTCGGATGAGACGTTAAGCTTCAGAACTCTGCAGCTCGTGTACTGTCCCGCACCAGGCTTCGGGACCACATCACTCCCACCCTCGCTCGCCTCCACTGGCTCCCCATCCCCCAGAGGATCGATTTCAAGATCCTCATCCTCACCTACAAGGCCATTCATGGCCTTGCTCCCTCCTACCTCTCCGACCTACTATCCCCCTACCTACCTGCCCGTACCCTCCGTTCCTCTGGCTCCGGTCTGCTCCACATCCCCCGCCCCAACCGCCCTACCATCGGTGGCCAGGCCTTCAGCCTCTCAGCCCCTAGGCTCTGGAACTCCATCCCCCAGTGCCTTCGCCTCGCCTCCTCCCTTTCCTCCTTCAAGGCCGGTCTCAAGACCTTTCTCTTTGACCGTGCCTTCAGCTCCCCTCTTGACTCTCTACCCCCTCCTCGCTCCCTCCCTTCCCCTCACCCTGACCATTTCCCCCTTGCTTGGGTCCTGACCCAACTTAACAGCGCCTTGGGACGTCCTCCCGACGTGAAAGGCACTCTATAAATGGAATCTTGGTGTTGTTGTTAATGCTGAAGATCTGGGGGAGCAAAATTTCATCATCATAATAATAATTCTTGTGTCCTTGCAGACAGCCATGAAGTGAATGGCCAATTTTATCTGTGGGTTTGTTAAACAGAATAAAAGTAATAATAATCATCACAATAACATTAATGCTTGCAATTGGTATAACTCCTTATCACTTCGTTGAGACGTCTCAAAGCGCTTCACAGAATATACCGAATATATACAGAATATAGTTTCGGAGGTGATGGAAGGCGGTGCCAGTTGTGGCGCGGATATGAGGAAGAAAGGACAGCTCAGGGTCGAACAGATCCCCGAGGTTCCTGACTCGCTTTGAGAGGTGGAGAGTGCAGCCTTGGATGCTGATGCTGTCAGCGCCTGAGGTGCGGAGGCGCTGACGTGAGCCAATCAGGAGGGCCTCAGTTTTGCGCACGTTGAGCTGAAGAAAGTAGTCTCTCGTCCAGGACTCGATGTCAGACAGGCAGACTGTCAGGACATCGGTGGGCGTGGAGTTGAGGGTAGAGGAGGAGAGGTAGAGTTGGGTGTCATCTGCATACATGTGGAAGTTAACCTCATGTCTGCGGATGATGTCACCAATGTGGGAGCATACAGAGGGTGATCTTAAATAAGATTAAGATTTTGCTTTTGTGTAAGGGTTGAATGTGTTTATAAATCAAATGACATCCTGTGGAAATCACCTAAGCAACTTGGTCTCGGTGGTCACTGAATGCACCAGTAATTTGTGATGTTTCCCTCATCCTCTATTACAGGATGACCACAGCATTGTTTTCCTCTGTGACCTGCATATGCACTTTCCTTCGAGTATAATTGACAGCATCAGAAAGCATTGTGTGGAAGGAAAGCTGGCCTTTGCACCGATAGTGATGAGGCTGAATTGTGGAGCTACGCCTCAGGAACCAGATGGTAAGCCTTGAAAGCCTGGTAAACTAGTGAAATGAATTTTCATTTTAGTTCAAAAGGAACTTGGGCGTTTTGTGTGGTAGGATTTATATATATATATATATATAAAGAGAAGGAAGTTCCTCCCCATGTCCTGGCCAAAAAAAAACCTAAAAAAGAACACAGTCACTGCACTTCACAGTAAATCTTGTGAAGCTCTTTGAGACATCCTCCTGATGTAAAAGGTGCTATATCAAATGCAAGCATTGTTAGTATTATTGTTATTATGAATCCTAAAATTTTAATGCAGTGGAGTGGGTAGCATTACAAGTGGCCTTGAGTTGTTGCCCACTTAATGCAGTTTTTAAAAATGTCTCACATTGATAAAGGTATTGCAATGAAGGTTTTGTAGCTAATGCCATTGCAGGAAGTGCAAAAGTGCGACCAAACTAGTGCTTGCAAGTAATTCGACAGTAGTATCCATTTGCCACTTTGTACATGCTCGTTTCGCAAGGGAGAGGATCCGGGTTCGATTCCTGGGCGGGGCGAAACCTTACTCCAAGCGCCTGTTTACCTAGCAGTAAGTAGGAACCCGGTTGTCAGTCGATTGATAGATCGCTTTGTGGGATAATAACTGCCCCCCCACCGCCAAACAAAACAATATTGGCTGCTACATTTTGCCTACAAATATACAGTCAATCTACTTTACAATATATCTTGTGAAGTGCATGGGAGACATCTCACTGACTTGATAAGGCACTCTGACAAATGCAACAGACTACGACGGCAACAGACTGGGAGGAATGAAGCTGGTGCTCCAATAGAGCTAGGTGAGAAATCCGCTCCCTGTAATCCAGCACCTGAATCTGTGCAGAATAATGAGCTCTAAGTTAGTAGGTTACATGCGAAATGATCTTGCACTAACTCAAGTATATCTATCGGCAACAGTATCACTGTCATCTTGACAAAGTAACTTCAGAAAGAGAGGAAGAGCATATCTGTCATCTTATCCTCGACCTCATGGTATAGTTAGGAGGTATATTGTGATTCTGATGGTAGTGACCTGTTTAATAGGAAATTATAGTGTTTTGGTAACTCATCTTCTTTCACTAAGTGTAATGCATCTATCCATCGGAGCAAGATGTCACTTAATTAATTTCACTTGTTTGAACTTGTAGGCTACTGGGAAATGAATGGCTTCGGCTTACTGGGAATCTACAAGTCTGACCTGGATAGGATCGGTGGGATGAATACAAAGGAATTCCGAGATCGCTGGGGAGGAGAAGACTGGGAACTGCTGGATAGGTAATGAATTACGGCAAAGAAATATCAAATCATTTTTTAGGATGAGCATAAAAATTTTAATTGGAGTCTGTGCTGGTTTCCATTATTTGGATTTTTACCTCCAAATTTTGTACTCTTATCTCTTAGTTGTCTTCTCTTGAAGGGCACAGATGGTGCTGAGTACAGTTCCATTAGACCAGGTCTTCAGCACAAACCCTCGGGCCAGCTACCTGTAAACACTGGCCTTCAGTCTACAACTCCTCCATAATATGACAATTCGTATCATACATTCCAGTGTTTTTTTTGTACCAGCCTTTTCCTGATGACTTCCATTCTTTCTGATTCACAGGATTTTCGAGTCAGGTTTGGAAGTTGAGAGAATGTATATGAGGAACTTCTTCCATTACCATCACTCCAGACGTGGGATGTGGAATAGAAAGCAAATCAAAGTGACGTAACAACGACTGTTGCAGGTCGGGGCTCGCACACATTTTCTCTGGTCATAAGATTGGGATTGGCCTGTCTTAAACCTACTGCACTACAGTCCTCTGTGTCACCTGGGTCTGAAGACAGCCAAGCTGCTGCTCCACCTACTCAGGCTACTACAATAACTGGTTTGGATCTTCAACCCAGGTTTAGGATTTATAAGGAACCTTCTCACAAGCCAAGGATTTGAAGTGTTGGATGAAGAGATTCCCAACAAAATTTTTTTATATTTTTGTAATTGAAGAAAACCATTGGTCNAAAAAACATTGAACTTTATAGTGATAAGATTGTTTTTTTTTGTTGCCTCTTTATCTACAAAATACAAGGTCACTACAATTTACACTAAATCCTGTGAAGCGCTTTGAGATGTCCTCCTGACGTGAAAGGCACAATATCAAAGGCAAGAGTATTATTATTTTACATGTTGACTGCTTCAACTGGAACTGGACTATATCATAGTACAAGTAAACTTGAATAGCCTGTGATTGATTGTGTTTTCTATATATATATATATATAAAAACGAAGGAAATATGTTGCCACATAGGACGAAATAGAATGGCAACATATCTTGGAACGTGCATTGTGCTGTGTTGAGAACATGATACCCATTGGCATAGGATCTTAGATGAGAAGATTTTCTGGCTCTTGTTGATCTGCTTTTGGCTTACCTGTGGAACACCCCAAGAGCCAAACAATTGGTTGGTGCTTCTGCCCTGATCAAATGTGTCAATTAGCAATACTTTGAAAGCCACACCTTTCAGTGAAATGCCATGCCTCGTGTGTGTGCAGACTCTTGGAGAAGTGCAGATTAACAGGGAGCATTGATTGATCATGTTTTAACTCAATAAGGACTCTTTTTTTAAAAAAAGCGTGCATGTTTTATCGAAATGAGACCAGGTTCAGTTCGTAAATTACCTTTTTTTTCTTACTGATGCTTCTCGTTATGAGTTCATTGAGGGATAGTGAAATTTGGCAAGGGTTCAAAAAGTGAGCTTCTTTTTCTGCTTTGCACACAGCTGTTCTTTCCCAGGGTCGATCCGATCACTAGAGTAGCCGTTCCTAAAGTAGGCTTCAGAATAACAAGGGCGTGTTGAGGCTGATCTGATTCTCAACGCCATGTCATCCACATGTGTGTGGGTGTGTGTTGTGCACTTGCCCACATGTAAGACCTGAATCACAGGGCACCAATTCAATATATTGTGTGCAAAAGAACCTAGAATGAGACACTGCACCTTTGGGATACCTTTTTTTAACCTGTATTGACCCGGTTTCTTTGCAAATTACAATGCTTAACACATTTGTGTGGAAGAGTTTGCTGAGTTGCTAGGTTGATTAAGCCATATTTTCTGCTGCCTGCAGTTGTGCACAAAATACCTTTTGTGTCTTCTTTTCCTTTCTGTACAGGAATAACTTAATACCATTGGATGCGAAAGAATCGTGGACCTGTATTTATACTTGAACGATTTTGTTTTTTGGTTCCTGCTTACACGGGATAAAAAGATTAGTTTTGTCAGTTTAACCAGTGGAAAGCAATTTTGCTGCACTGTTTGGGTACCTCAACTACGGGTCTTAAAAGTTTCAAAACGTAGTCATTTATTTTTCTATGGATGCAGATGTGGGAAAATTTGGTACAAATCAAAACATATCGTGGGTACTTAAATTATGTAAGAAACCTCTAGGGGAACATTTTAACTGTATTAGAACACTTGAAACCCAAGCCCTTTGAAGAGGGTCTTATGCTAGATTTCTTTGTTTCTTTAACTGTACCTGTACAGTGTAGTGTGGCCTTGAGAAAAGGCTGGGTTAATGAAGGGTTAATGATTTCTGTGAAATTAAGTTGTGTATAATGGTTTTGCAAATAAAGATTTTTCTTGGATTTCTGTACTTGCTGATCACTTGAGCTGGTTTTGCTTCCTTTTCTTCTCTCGCCCTGGCCACCAGAGTGGCCACGCAGTCACCCATCCTCATCTTCACTTTTAAAGCCCCCCACTCTCTTGCTCCTCCCTACCTCTGCAACATCATCACACCATCCCAACTTTCCTGCTCCCTCCCGCCTGTTCCACTTCCCCCACCCTGCCAGCCCTGCTCACCCCACTATTGTTGGGCGGCCCTTCAGCTTTTTTGCCTCCACCCTCTGGAAATCCATCCCTGAATCCCTCCATCTTGCACCCTGCCTTGCCTCTTTCAGGGCTCGTCTCAAGACTTTCCTCTTTGAATGTGCCTTTGGCCATCTCCTACCCTTCACCCCTCTTGATTCCAACCCCCAGCTTGGGTGCCAATCTTTAACTGTCCACCCTTTGAGATGTCCTTCCAAAGCGAAAGGCACGATATAAATGTAATTTGTTGTTGTTTTTGTTGTCACGCTCCTCTTCTCTCCATCAACTGCATGGCAAACTATGCAAACTGCACGAGTTTGCAACCAGACTGAAGCAAAGTGACTTTCAGTAACAGGATTGAAACCCACTGTAGGGCAGTGTCCATGGAGATTTCCAATCATCACCTACTTTTATTTTTATTAATATTATTAATTTGTGTCCAATTTTTTTCTATATTTTCTCATGCCTTTCTGTGGTTGCACAGCCGCTGGTTGCTCTCCAGTTCCCTGCCCAAGTGACCGTTGTTTGTGGTGTTGAACACGCACTTCACTGTAGAGCTGCCCGCCTACCTGGGTGCCACACACACACGCACAACCAGTAGAGGGTACTGAGGAGACCCCAGGAGTAGGCAGCCCAGTGCCAATTTAGCAACCCCGCTCAGCCCAGCTGAGACCAGCAAATGCTGCACAGCCTGGGATTGAACCGTGAACCCTGGTCCAGTGAACTGCAGCTCTATCCACTGCAACATTGGGGCTGACTTTTCATTTTGGTTTTAATGAACCACAATCAAAACTTTCCATTCGTAAAAGGTATATTTACATCAAAAATTCAGAACATCTAGAGCCAGGGCATTCAACAAAAAAGCAAACATTTTTTTAAAAAAAGTTAAACTTTTTTTCACAAGTGTTGCGTGGTTAACAATCAGATCCTTTTATGTGTGCAACACCTTTACTGTGTCTTTCAAACATAGGAAGCTACCGCATTTGGCCCATAAAAATATAGTCAATTTACTTTCAATATATTCTGTGAAGCGGGTTGAGACATCTCAACGACGTGATAAGGCGCAATATCGAATGCAAGGATTTTTATTATATGCTTTCACGGGATTGCAATTTTATTTGAATGGTTCTGCTACCTTCTTTTACACACGCTTATTGCAAGAGCTTTTAAAAAGCAGCTTGATGCTGTGGCGGGGGTGCAGTGGGGTGGGTATTCTGGAGGGGTAAGTTCAGAATGGCCACAGGGACTTTTTCATCCAGACCAATCTTGTGTCATCTTGTGAGGAACCTCAGGATTGTTTGGCTCTGGCCTGCTATATGATGTGAAAGTGATGGGACAGCAATGGGCATGTTGCAGCAAAATATTCCTCGAACAGGTTCCACTTCCCCAAAATGAGTTTATTTTAAACTTTAAAAAAAAACCTTAAAGCAACAATACGAGCTCTAAGGTACTGTAACGGGCTTGCATGCTGGTTTTAGTGATGTGGTATTAGCTGCTATTGGAAATGAGGGAGCTGTATGTAAGTGAACTTTTTAATCAGTTGATGGCCCAGTGCCTTTATAGGTTGGGAGGCTGCCCCACCCTTCACCTCCGTCCTCTAAATAGTCCTCTCTATTGGGAGGTCATTCAGAACTCCTCTAAATAGTCTTCCCTGTTGGGAGGTCATTCAGAACCCTGCAGCTCGTGTACTTTCCCGCACCAGGCTTCAGGACCACATCACTCCCACCCTCGCTCGCCTCCACTGGCTCCCCATCCCCCAGAGGATCGAATTCAAGATCCTCATCCTCACCTACAAGACCATTCACGGCCTTGCTCCCTCCTACCTCTCCAACCTACTATCCCCCTACCTACCTGCCCATAACCTCCGTTCCTCTGGCTCCGGTCTGCTCCACATCCCCGCCCCAACCGCCCTACCATCGGTGGCCGGGCCTTCAGCCTCTCAGCCCCTAGGCTCTGGAACTCTATCCCCCAGTGACTTCGCCTTGCCTCCTCCCTTTCCTCCTTCAAGGCCGGTCTCAAGACCTTTCTCTTTGACCATGCCCATTTCAGCTCCTCTCTCGACTCTCTACCCCCTCCTCACTCCTTCCCTCCCCTCACCCTGACCATTTCCCCCTTGCTCGGGTCCTGACCCAACTGTACAGCGCCTTGGGACGTCCTCCCGACGAGAAAGGTGCTCTATAAATGGAATCTTATTGTTGTTGTTGTTGTTACCAGGTGGTTGAGGTAGAAAGCTGGGAGCCTATCCATCCGTAGGCCACAAAGGCCATGTGGTTAAGTCAGGCTTTGCAGAGAATGCAGTTGAGTGTGAGGCTGTTGGAGATTACTACAAGGCATAACTACTGGATCGGGGTGAGGGGAGTGGACTGTGAGTGGAAGTTGGTGTAAGAGGGGTTGTAGGACACTGAACACAAACACAGGTAACTGCACCTCTCTAGGTGTGTCAGAGGCAGCAGATCTTGCCAGATTCTGACAGGGCTCCTGTAGACGGCTGAGGTTTTCCTTGTGTTAATAAACTGTGATCAAGTTCAGCATCTGTCTGGCTCGAGTGGTCTTTGTACAAGAACAATCGCTAGCGGTGTGACATGGATTCCTGGGAAGCCACAATGCTCAACTCGGGCAGGTATACGTGCCTTTGTGTTTTTCCAGTACATTAATAATTCCTCGTATCACCTTAAGGAAATGATGATCTTGAAGGCTATTAAATATGTAATAATGAAATTCAAGACAGGTGTTGGTATTTGATTGTTCAAAAGGAGTTAGTTGGACAAAAGAGTTTTGCTCAACCGTTCTTTCCGCTAATGTCTAATTCCCAACCCCCAGCTCAGGTTCAAATCCTTGATGTAATTTTTTGCTGTTTTTGTCCTGAAAATGCTCAATTCCTTTTTGCCCCTTCTACTCTTGCTTGGGTATCTTTCGGTACATCGCCCATGTGTCCATTGTTTAAGCGTGCATCGTGGCAGTGAGTGCCGGCTGGCTGTTCAACCATCGGCATCATCACAACCAACAATGATCATAGCTTTGCTCAACTCTTCAACAACATGTATGGGGGATGTCAGGATAGTTTTCAGGAGGGAGCAATTCTAGCTTTCAGTTTTTGTTCCCCCTCCCGACCTCTCCTTCAGAACCCTCGGGTGCGGTGGCCATTTGTAGCACAGTCGGCTCAGTTCACCTAACTCAACGTAGGCTGGATTTGTGACTCAAGACCTGATCTGTATCATCAAGTGCTGCATCAGTTGGTGCTTTTATCAACTGCACACATTTTAATCAATAAAATCTCATCCTCTCTGACTTAGTTGCGTCTTACATAAACACATTTCTTGCCAAAACACAATTAATTTCCGATTGTAAATTGCTAAATGTAGAGTTTTAAGACTGCTGATAAAGTTGTATAAGATATGCTGGCTGAAGCTCCGAAGCAGGGGATGACCCTTTGATCACGAGTACTGAGGACGAGGATTGACGTTAAGCAACTATAGATTTGTTTCCAGTTTCCAAAATCCCTTTAAGATTCGACCAGAAGATCTGCTGCTTCTGGGCCTCTTGTGGCCATTCCAAGTAGGTCTTTCTGTTCAGGAGTTTCCGGAGTTTGACAAACTTTCTGGGAACTGAATTTGAAGGAATGGGTTCGAGGAGGACGAAAATGATGGAGTCCTGCTGGATATTTAGAGATCTGTGCTGGGCAAAGTAGAGCTCATAGTGGCACCATTCACTTTTCACAAACTGCTTCGAAAGCACAAAAATGGTCTTGTAACTGTTCTCAATGCAGTTGATGATGTTCTCTATGACCAGCTGTCCAGGAGTGAAGTCTCTCTTATGTATGCATATACGGAAGGCTGCATTTTCCAGTGTAACGAGTAGGTGGTCAGTTACCCACACAGAATCTTCTTCACTATATGATATAAATGCATCAAACTGATAAATCGGGGTCTCCATTTCACCGGATTTGCGACTTTGGGATCTTTTGACATGGATCCACATGCATAACATTCTGAAGTACCACACAGCGTCACAGCAATAGCATAGAAGAGCTAGAACAATGCACATGAACACTCCAGTGCCCACTCCGATCAGTGCCTGAAACAGTTGGTTGCATATAATGATATTGGGATTGTAGGTAGCCAGGGTTTTGCCCGCCCAGTTAGATGGATAGTTGCAGGTATATGAATCTGGCCATTCTACCAACAGGTTCTTGTCAAATTTGGCTGTGAACCAGTACATATCACAAGTGCAGTATAAGGTATTGTTCCCTGCATTCAGTTGACGGAGCTGTGGAAGGCCTTGCAACATGTTTTGGGAAATTATATTTATGGAGTTGAAGTTGATGTACAATGTGTGAAGATGAGCAGCTTCCAGGTGTGAGGGTAACTGCTTGATAAAGTTACCAGTCAGGTAGAGCTTTGTTAGACGTGGCAATCGAGATAAGGCATCACTGGACAAAGCATCTATCTGTGTGTAGGAGAGGTCGAGCACCAGGAAGTATTTGGACAGGCAATTGAAGACCGTGTTCCCCAGAGGATTGTGACTGAGGATCAAAGTGGTCATTTTTGCAGGCCACGAGCAGGTATCTGGGTTATCAATACTATTAAAGCTCAGATCCACAGTGTCCAGCACTTTCATCTGATGCAGTTTGCTAGAAATGAAACCGAGGTTTTTGAATTGGTTGTGACTCAGGTTGAGTTTCTGCAGGCTGGGGAAGACATTGGTATAGTTACATCTGGATCTCCAGAAACCAGTGTCATCCAGGAGGTTATTGGACACATCCAGAACTTCCAAAGAGATAATATCAGGCAGCAGGTTGCAGGGAGAAATATTCATTCCACTATGAGAGAACTTCACGTAAGCGATGTGCAGGAAAAGAGTCAAATTGATATAAATCAAAGGATAATTATATTGGTAGTGGGTTACACCATCAAAAATAACAGACTTCATCAGGCTGATACGGGTACTCCCATTCACTCCATTAAAATAAATACCCCCAGTGTTGTCGTCATATGTTATGTTTTGAAAAACAAGAACTTGAATATTTGACTGACCTAACTTGGGAAGAATGTAAGTAATTAATGAGCTGCTTATCCAGCTATGGGTGAAGGTGAGTTTTTCCAAAGTATTAATGTCTGAGAGCCCTCGGAATGGATCAATGGATTGGTTACAATCCTTTGAGGAGAAGTAGCCAAGTGTGATGTTTCTAACCTTGGTCTGATTCAAATCCCTCAGCATGGCAGTCAGCATTGGAACTTTGCCACAAAAGGACATGTTTATGGACAGCTCTTCCAGCATTTGGAGCTGTACCAAAGAACCTGCTTCGTATTTTTGTAGGTTCACCCCATTGCTAAATTTTACAACTTTCAGTGTTACATTGTGCAATGAAGTAAAGTCTTTCTTGTTAATACATGGTGCATGGGGACTTCCCAAATTCAGAACAGTCATTTTCTGCAGCGTTGCAAAAGTATTTCCCAAGCTGTAGCTTCTGTACAGATTGCCTGAGATGTCAAGGACCCTCAAACCCAAAACGTATCTCAATGGCAAGTATGGGATTGTCTCCAATAGATTGTGAGAGAGATCTAAAATCTCCAGGTTTGAATTCATTTGAAAGCAAGCTTCAGAGACAAACCGAATCCTGTTGTTAGACAATCGTAGGAAGCATAGGTTTTGAAGTAGCTGCAAGTCCACATCATTAAGGCTTGTCAGATTGTTGTAAGAAAGATCCAAGTACTGTGTGGACTCTGGCAGGTCTTTTGGGATTTCTTTCAAGTGCTGATGTGAACGATTGATCCAAACCCCCTTTTTTGCACATGATGGCATTCCCCAGTCTTGTGATGCAGTCCATCCCATGGAGGAATAAAAGAGCAACCAGAACAGGCAAGCCTGGTAGGACATCCTGCTTTATAAAAATAAAATAGAACATAAACAACAATTTACATGTATATAAGCACCTTCAAGCCCAGGTAGTGTCTCGGGACTCTGAAAGTCCTAATTTTTTAATTTCTTCGTAACTGAGACATCCCCAGTAACATCCACCTGACTGAAATGCACAGGTTAGTCAAAGAGTTCCTCAAAGTGGACTTGTACATTGCAGTGATAAACACATTGTATCAAATTTCATTGGAAGCCACTCAGAAAGCTATACTTCTGAATGTACAAACAATCTGTGCTTGCGCTACCTAACGATAAACAGAGAATCTTCTCAAGCCTCTTTTGCTAGCTTTGTCTTTATTATTTACCATAATAATATAATATGTTAATATAATATAATAATAGTTTCGCCCACAAATATACTCAATTCATTTTACAGTATATTCTGTGAAGACTTTGAGAAGTCTAGAAGACGTGAAAAGCACTATATCAAATGCAAGAAATTATATTATAATATACAAGGCAATAATATTATATTACCATTCTGCTGCTGCTATGTCGCTCAGTTCCTCTTATTCTGTAATTGTTCACCTTTTGTAAATATTTTTCTTTCCTTGCTAAAGTTGTGGACCAGTGTAATTGTCATTTTTCCTGGGTGAGTGGTGCAAACCAATTCCATTTCTGGAAGTATTGTAGCTAAAACCTGATCCTACGCTCACCCAGTTTTCATCCTGTGGATTCCTGTAGCTCAGTGGTTAGAGCACTCGCTTTGCAAGTGAGAGACCTGAGTTCAATTCCAGGCAGGTCAGGGCGAAACCTTGGGCAAGTTTCCTTACTCCACACAGAGCCTAATAATAATCCCTCCAAAAAACCAAAAACAATAATTAAATTGGTCATTTTCAATCTACGACTGTTTGTGGGACATTGCTGTGTGCAATTGGCTGCCGCGTTCGCCCACAAATATACAGTCAATTCACTTTACAGTGTGTTCTGTGAAGCGCTTTGGGACGTCCTCCCGACGTGAAAAGCGCTATATCAAATGCAAGGATTATTATTATTATTATTATTATCCTCTAACTATAATCACTGTATAACTCTCAGTACAATGATTTTACCCTTCCATATTAGTCCAGGGAAATAGTTATCTTAAGATTGGCTAACGTGTTGATATGACTCAGTACAACATTTATATAGCATCTTTCATGGTGGGAGAAGTGCTTCACACTGTTAGCTCGGCACCCGAGCTGAGGAGATGGGAGATGGGAGCTGAACAGGGTGGGGCGTGGAAAGATAACTGAAAGAGGTTTGTCTTGAGCCGGCCTTTGAACATAGGGAGGGAGGCAATGGTTGAAAGCCTGCCTGCCAATGGTGGGGCAGATTGGCTAAGGGACATGAACCTGTCTGTGCACACTAAATTGCACATTTAGCCAGTGAGACTCCAAATTGTTAATGAAAATTATCCAATGCCTTGAAACGATTGCTTTCAACTTGTATGCTTGGTTTGAGTGGCACTTCTATAAACATTATGCAATGAAAATGTATGCAATATGAGCTAGCAGACCTCAGTGAACTGGGTGACAATGTACACATTATGTTGCAGCTCTCTAATCTTTATCTTATCCTTTAGTCCTGTCATTGTGGTAAGATTGATTGGTAAGATTACAGTCACCGTTCTAAACCATTTCAGTTTAATGCATCCAGCAAGGAACAGAATGAACCAAAAAAGCATAAGCTACTAGAGAAGCAGAGAGCAAAGGGGACATAAAGCTGAAAACATGCACTTTACCAATGTTTCCATTCACTGAACAAGGTCCAATGCCCAAGAAACCAACTTAACAGGCCATTAGGATTTGGTTACAAAATACACAGTCAGACTACTTTACCGCACAGTATATCGTGTGAAGCTCTTTGGGACATCTCGATGATGTGATAAGGCACTGTATCAAATGTAAGGATTATTATATTGGTTGGATTAAAAATAGGTTCAAAAATCATACCTGAAGGTTATTGAAATGTTGAAGGCTTTGCAGGCGAGTCCCAGAAATGTGACTTCTTCCAACCTTCAATATCAAATTATTGATCCATTCACAGATTCCAAAGCTTGCTACAGAGCTCCATTGTTACAAGTCAAGAAATATACTCCTTGCTGATCATTTTCTCTCTTTATTTAGCGTTCAAAACCACACTGAGTCACGCCCATCGCTACAAGTTCGCTCCCCTTTTGAATGCTGTGCTCATCTGTCAATCAAATGCCTTAACCACACTTATCATATCATACATTTTTTATAAAAAATGAATTTGCTGTGCACAAGTTAGCTGCTGTGTTCCTTCACCAAATACACAGTCGATGTACTTCACAGTAAATCTGTGAAAGAGCTTTTGAGACATTTCGACAATTATTATTGTTACTACTATTATTGCGTCAAGATCCTCACACACGTGTTTAAATCTCTTCACTTCCTGGTACCTCCCTACCTCTCCGACCTTCTCAGTCCCCAATCCATCACTCGGTGGCTCTGCTCGACTGGCATCAGCCTCCTGCTTGTGCCTCGCGCTCTCCGCTCCACTATTGGAAGTTGTGCATTCATCCACTACGCCTCAAAATCCTGGAACACTCTCCCTCAATCCCTCCGCCTGTCCCCTCTCCTTTTTCAAATCCTGCCTGAAACCTTCCTTTTCAATTGTGCTTACGGTCACCTCCGGGCTCGGAGTCAGGCTCTGCCACTGTTAAGCACTCTGAGACACTATCCTGCAAGGAGGCCGCTATATAAGTGTAAGTTGTTGTAGTATTATGTGGAATCTTGTCGTGTATTGTTTGGAGCAATCGCCTCACAAGTGAGAGGATCCAGGTTTGATTCCTGGGCATCACTCAGCATCAGTTACATTAAAGTGCAGGTTATTGGGTGGTTGAGGAGTTCAGAACCACAGGAGTGAAGACGTTGATGGAAGCCAAAGAACATGTCTTCCGTCTTGCCGACATTCAGCTGCAGGAAATTGGTGCTCATCCAGGCTTAGATGTCTGTCAAACAGGCTGACAGGACATCAGTGGACTGGGAATCACAGCTGGATGAGAAGTAGATTTGAGTGTCACCCACCTGTATGTGGAAGTCTGCGGATGACATCGCTCAGAGGGAGCATGTAGATAAGGAATAAACGGATGCAGCCTTGGGGTGCCCCACAAGTGACCGGGCGGGGGTAGGAGGAAAAACATCCTGCCCTCTACATTAACCTCAGTGGTTTGAGCCTGAAGTTACTGTAGTTCCCCTTAGTTTAAGAAGTAACATTAAAAAATCTAATCTGGGGCATTATTAGATGTGGTTCCCTGCAATATTGAAACTTTGATGAAATACTGTTGGTGAGACTTTCTCTTCCGCACATTTCAAAGAGAAAATTACATGGACTGAGATTAGTGGTTAAATCCACTTCCTTTGTTTGTTCTGACCTACCCAACTCATAAATGTTGCAAGCTTGATCCCCTTCTGGTCTATCCTTTGCTTAGCACTCACTCTAAGTGGTAAGTGACATAAAATATGTCATTTGTATTTTAGGAGAGTGTTGGTCACATCCAAAAACATAATTTGCACAATAGTTGTAACAAAAAGGAAAGGTTTATTTTAACAAGGAAGTTCTAACTCTGTACATCAGCCTTCTCCAGACTCCCCTCTCACATTCCCAAGCCCCCAGCTTTATCCTGGGGCTCAATTATCCCTTAGGGCTTTTGCCTAATTATCACGTGTAAAGTCCAGCCCTTTACACGTCGGTTGATCGCCAATAACCATAAAAGGCAAGGGGGAGGTTTATCCCCCTGTCACAACATTGAAACTAACAAATATTAAAACATAGTTCCTTGTGAGTAATTTCTAAAGACTTATCTGAAAATTGGAACTGACTGCTTTCCTCATTCTTATGTTTTTATTCTAAATCTTTTGTGTAAGTCTTTCAGAAACAGTAAACTAGTGGAAACAGCTCTCATCAAATAATAAGAACAACAACAACGACAAGTTGGATTGATATAGCCCCCTCCATGCCGGACGCAGTCTCAGAGCGCTTCGCAGCAACGGATCCTGGGACCTAGCCAGGGGGAGAGGGAGGAAGGTGACCAAAGGCGCGGTCAAAAAGAAGGTTTCTTCAGCAGAGACCTGAAATTAGGAAGGGAGGGAGTGAGGCGAAGGGAGTGAGGAAGGGAATTCCAGAGCCTCGGGGAATAGTGGCTGAAGGCACGGCCGCCGAGTGTGGAGTGGAGGACTCGGAGGACGAGGAGGAGGCCACACCTGGAAGAACGAAGGTAACGGGTACTGTCTTGAGGAGAGAGGAGGTCAGAGAGGTAGAAGGGTGCAGAGAAGTGGAGGGACTTGAATACAAGGGTGAGGATCTTGAAATCGATCCTTCTGTCGCTTCCCTTTACATTTGTGACCACCTAATCCTTTACCAAACTGCTCGCTTCCTCTGCTCAGCGGGCTCCGGCCTGCTTCATATCCACGCCTTGCCCGCCCCACCATTGGCGGGCCTTTTGCCACTCTGCCCCCACCTTCTGGAACTCCATCCCACAGTCCCTCCGCCTCGCCCCCTACCTTACCTCCTTCAAGACCCATCTCAAGACACTGCCTGTGCTTTCGATCACCCTCCTTCCCTCCTGCCCGCCACCCTCCCCAATCCCGACCCCCAGCTCGGGTCCGAAACACTGAATGTCCAGTGCCTTGGGACATCCTCCCGATGTGAAAGGTGGTATACAAATGTAATTTTGTTGTTGTTGCTTATTATATTTTCTTCTCGTAATCCTCAAGCACTTTCTCCCTGTAGCAACTTTTCTTGATAATACTGTGATTGATTTCCGACAAACCTTCCTCTGCTCTTCACAACTTTCAAATGGGTTCCCCCTCTCCCTCCATTTGCACTGTATTGAAATCTAAACTAATCACATTGTCTCCTGCTCTTAACTCTGGAGCTTAAGACTGGAAGTTCTTACTACCATAGGTCTTCCCTTCCTCCTCCAACCTTCAGGCTATGAAATCACCATTTGGTTG